AATTCAATGGGAAATGAATTCAATGGGAAATGAATTCAATGGGAAAATGATTTTACAGTTTCACATAAAATATTTCATTTATTCCTAGCAATAATCCAGTGAAATAGGTATTGTTAACCCTAATTTTATTGATAAACTGGTATGCTGAGTACCTTGCTCAATATTACACAGCAAATAAGCTGTAAAACTGCAACCTTAGTATAGGTCTTTTTATTCTAATCCCTATACTCTTTCCATGTGCCTGTCATGCCTCCTGATAGTACTATGTTGCATTTAAAGCCAATCAAAGAGAACATTATACCTCTAAATTTATATACAAATATGTGAATTTTTATTATATATATATTTTATACATATAGAAAGAGAAAGACAGAGAGATGATCTCCTGTCTTAGACTCTCATCTATACCACATCATTTAGAAGTTACAATAGATATTGTTTCAAGTATTACTGAATCAAAGTTGACTATCATTATGAGGTCTGTAAGCTATAGCAGTGGTAAACCTCTAGACAGATGCTGGTAGCCTGAATTTACACTTAGGAGGTAAATATTTGTTAGATACATAAACAAGCAAAATAAAAATGCAGAACTGATCTGGTGGCTCCATTCTTTTTTGGCTTGTCTATATACAGAAATCACTGTATTTTTATATAACTAAGAATAAGTAATTGAATTGCAGTAATAATATGAGCAAGTAATGGTTTTATTTTAATATTGATTACAGATCTTCTACTTTATAAGTGAGAACTTAAGTATGATCTAAGTACAGAGAAATAGTTTTCTCCTCAGTAGATGTCTTTCACACATAAACATGCAATTGAGTTTCTCTTTTCTATAATTTGCAAATTGTGCTTTTTAATAGTGGCTTTCTTATCCTTTTAAATATCTCTTCAAGGGCCAGGCGTGGTGGCTCACGCCTGTAAACCCAACAGTTTGAGAGGCCAAGGTGAGAGGATTCCCTGAGCCCAGGAGTTCAAGACCAGACTAGGCAACATGGTGAGACCTCACCTCTACAATAAAGAGAAAAAATTAGCCAGGAGACAGGATCGCCTGAGCCTAGCAGGTCGAGGCTGTAGTAGCTGTGATCATACCACTGCATTCCAGCCTAGGTAACAGAGTGAGACTTCAACTCAAAAAAAAAAAAATCTCTTAATGTAAGTATTCCATAGTTTTCATTAACCATGAATCTCAGCCTTTTTTTAAAACCTCTGTTCAAAAACCATATTTAGTTGTTGTTTTACCACCATCCTTTTAGCCTGGTTGGTAAAGCAGCAAGCCTACTGCAAATCCTAAGTGCCGTGGTATAGATGAGAACCTAAGACTTTAATTATATGTCATTTTATTCAAAACACTCAATTCCAGGAAGGAAAAAATGACTCTGTTGTTGTAAAAGACATATTATGTAAGTATCATTCATTGTAAACCAAAAATGATACTGTATTATAGCATAGACAATAATGAGGACTGATTCTGAAAATGTGACCTGACTGAGAAACTGAATAATAGTGAAAGTTATCAAAATGGAAAGAAGTGTAAATGTGAAATCCAGCCTTCTCAGAAATACTCTTTCCTGGCCTGTTTGGTTTTGCTTTTGTTGCTTGTCATGCATGAATGAAAGTGCTATACTCTCAGGGGAGCAGGAAAGCCTCTGTGTCGGTTGTTTATTTCCTTAATCCCTCCTCCTTTGTGATTTTTTATGTCAGATCTAAAATGGAAAGCCTGTAAATATAATGATTATCACATGGATAATCACCTGCATTAGGAACCGCCCTGCTCTCTATTCTAACCCGAGCTGTTCTCCACATGTCACATCTACTCTGCGGTTGCATTTTAACCTGACTGCTTCATTAGATTTGTGAAACTCAGTACGAGGCGCCCTGGGGCAGCACAGATGGGGACTTGCTTGTTTTCTTTTCTCACTTTTACTGCGAAGGCACACTAAAAAGTCCTTTTCAATTTAGTGCAATCGGTTCACTTGGAATTACCTCTGATATTTGGAACCTGCCTTACCCTTCTGCCCACCATCTATGCCCATTCTTTCTTGTTTTCTGACTTAATGCCTTTTCTTTCTGTCCCTCCATGCAGTGAATCTGGCAACGAAAATTCTGCTTAAAATTCTTACTGGATCAGACTGTTCCCCTGTGTTGTTTTGTTTGTTTTGCTGGGAGGGAAATATAAATGTTGTTCCATCATTTTATCTACAAACACTTTCAGATCAGAGGTTAGCTGTAGGAAAGTCTGCAGTGATATGAACCAGCTGCCCTCTCTAATAGAGTGACTTGGGGCACCAGCCCAAGATCAAAGGAAGGTGGGAGGAAGTCAGAAGATAAGATCATTTTAAGCCACAGAACAAGTGCTTAGCTTTTCTAGTGATAGGGCACAGCTTAACAAACGGGGAGGGGGGGGGCAATAAGATAGAAAATTGCGTTGACTTTTCTTAAGTAAGTTCTTCCTCTTTCAGAAATATGTTAATACCTGGAATAGTTTACAGTCTCCCAAGACCCAGTTTCCTTAAAAGATAATGATTTGAAATTTATATGTGTGTCTTCTTGCAGTTAGTCAGTTTTACACCATAACAGATCATAATTAATTTCTTACTACATTTGTATGAACAAAACAGGACGTTTTTAAAAATTAAACTACTGTATGTGAAATTTTAGTCCTCCAGATTCTTTAACTTTGTCTTATGGTCCTCTAGGGTTCTTCCATGCTTCTGATGAAGTTTCATATAAATACATAGTTCTAGCATAGCTTTTCTGTTGTCTCTTTTATATAAGAATTTGCTTGGTTAATTATGACAACATGGAAAACACCACAATGATATATTTTTAACCTTATCCTTTTCCCTGATATCCCAGCCAGCAAATACTGACTATGTAATGTACAAAGTTCTGGTGTAAGTAAATTATCAAGAGGCTAACCTTGCTTGCACCAGTTGATCAGTTGTCAAGATCATAATTCAATTCTTTTTTGTCCACACCAACTAGGGCTAACTTGGTCAGGCTTGTGTTTCTCTAGTGAATAGTGTTAAGAGGTTGTACTTTCAGCTCATCACTTTCTGTTTACTTCAGTGTTCAAAATCAAGCATTTCAGCCTTCCTAAACCTTCAAGATGGTTCTATAAATCTATATGCTATTAGTATATTGGGCCGTAAGTGCATATGTATATTTTTTTCTCAGTGTTTTCCTCAACATGTAAATAATGCCCAAATTTGTACAGAGACATTGACTGTACTTTCTGCCTTACATGGTTTGGTACAGCAGTCGTTTTAGTTAAGTTGGCTCTGCTCACTACTCAGGCTCAAATCCCATCCTTCTATTAATATCTCTTGGCAAAGATAATTTTGGAGGAATGTAAGTTAAGATGTAGAGGCTCTTGACAGTTGTCTGCAACTTTTTTCATTTTCAAGAGGGAAGTAGAGTTGAAAAGTAATATTGCCTCCATTTTCTATCAGTCCTAAAAAGTAAAATATAAGCACAAAGCAAAGTAACAAAGGGAAAGATTTTTGTTACACAGATGTGTTTTTGTCATTAGATAACCTGCTATAAGGGAATTAAGGTATATAATAATAAGTTTATGTCTTTTTTTTATACGCATTTCTCATTTATTTTCAATAAGATTGTCTTTAACATAGTTAAAATCTAGAAGAATTTTGTATACTAAAATATTTTTAACCATATGTATTTTTTAATAGTCAACTTTTGTTTCCCTGTCATCCCATAGTAAAGGGAAATTGGGAGCTTTTGGGGCTGTTTATTATAAAAATTTTCAAGCAGACAAAAAAGTAGAAGTACTGAACCCCACATACCACATAAATCTAGGTTTAACAGTTATTAACATTTGCCATTTTTTTGTTTTACTTTAAGTATTTTCTTGAAGTATCCAAAGGTAAATTATATATATCATGACATTTCATCCCTAAATACTTCATGATATATCTCTAAAAATTAAAGACATTTTTCTTATCAAACTGAAAACTCCTAATGTCTAATTTTCATTCAAAATTCTCAAGTTGTCCCAAAAATGTCTTTTATAGATGGTTTGCTCAAAACAGGGTCCTATTAGGGACCATACATTGCTCTTGGTCATTTTCCCCTTCCCACTTTATCATGACATTGACTTTTTAAAGAGACTAAGCTCATTGTCCTACAGAATATCCTATTTTATGGATTTGTCCATTTGCTTTCTCAGTGTATCCTTTAATTTGTTTCCTTATCTGTATTTCTTATAGACTGCAAGTTATTAGACTAAAGTTTGGATTAATTCATGTGAAAAATTTTTGACCAGAATATTTTATAGCTGATACTGTAAACTTCATACTGCACCATAACAAAAGGCACAGAATATTTGGTGATCCCATTATTAGTGACTATAAGTGATAGCATCGATCACTGGGTTAAAGTGATGACAGCTTGATCCTTCCATTATAAAGTTATGCTTTGCTCCCCGTGACCAGCATATAATCTAAAATACTTTGATTCCATGGAAATACCCAGTTCCCTATCATCCTTGCACTCGATGAATTTAACATCCACTGATGATCCTTGCCTGTAATAAATTTCATTATGAGGATTGTGAAAGGGTGCTTTTTCTGAATCTATACATTTATTAGCAGATATTCTTCTCTATAGACGAGCTTTCGGAGAGGTATTGTTTTAATTAAAAACATAACCACCAGCATATTCCTTAGATTTCAAGTGATTGTCTTTCTTTGCTGAGGTCAGAGCACCTGAACTCACTGTGGCAGGTACAGTAAAAATATGCACTACATCTTCTTTATTCCACCTTGTGAAGTGTGTTGACATTATGCTGCCTATTATTATTATTATTATTATTCCAAGGAAAAAAAATCTTTATTGGTGTAGGAATAAAAATCGAACTATGTGGGTATATTGAGATAATTGTATAAAAAGAAGACTGTTTGAATGAGTTTCAAAAATGGATTATTTCTTCATTACCTAGCACTTTATAATTAACTGTTCTTTTTTTTTAATTTCAGGAAGCTGCCACTTTTGCTAGAGAGCAAGGCTTTGAGGTGAGTTAACCCACAATTGCACACTAAACAGATCCTAAAGGTTTTTTCTAGCTGATAATGAAGTTCTTTTGGACAGTGATTGATGTGCTATTATACTCTCAGAGCCTCGCAGCAGTTGCCATGGAAACTTGGCAGTCGTCATGGTTTCTTTGTTCTGCCAGCACAGTGTTATGACGCACTCTGCTAGGTCTGCACCCAACATCGCCTACAGATGTTATTTATTGAATTTTGAAAAGCCTCTTGGGAAGCCAAGAGGTTGGGCACGGTTTCAAGCTGCCTCTGCAGATATGGGGCCTGTCAGTTTGTTCAGTTAAAAAGCTACCTCATTAGCTGCATTACATTTCATAAGGATTCGCTGCTAAAGCAGTGGTGGAGCAAGACTAAATAATGAAATATAATGTCGTTTAAATAATTTCAACCCTATCACATGTAGATTATCATTATGCAAATTAATTTCTGAAAGGTTGTACTTAGCAGTTGTTAGGGACTGATTAATGTAAATCCTCCTCATATAAACTTCCTGTTTGAACCTATTTTTTTCTTCTTTCTCCTCTTTTTTTGCGGGGGGAGGGAGTAGCATAAAATATATATAATTTTTCTGAAACAAAGTATCAATAATTGAATTTAATTTTCAAGTCCTGATTCTATGTTCCTGATACAAGTATTATCCTATCAAAATTCACAACTCCATGTGGTTGTTGTTGGCAACATTGAAATAACAGTCAAGACCATGTTTTTTATCTATATAACATCCATCTTGATTGTTAGAAAACAAAGACTAACATGAACGTAGGTTAATTGACAGAGAATTAACTAAGTTTATGAATCTTTTATGACAGCGATATTTATTGGGCCAGAATTATGCAGTATGCTGTTGTTCTGTACAGCAACTTAAAATGTTACAGGATAATAATTTTTAAAAACTTAATCTAACTAGAGCTGAAATATTGAAACTTCATCCTTACTTGCATACTCAGTATTGTCTATCATATAAAGAATTGGTGAGCATTGATTGGATAGTATTAGTTAACTTACTTTGAACTCTTTAAAGAAAGATATTATAGGAATTTATGATGGAACTCTTATTTAAACATGGAAAAGGCAGATTCGTCATTGAGTAACAAAGTAATACATGTGCATGTTATTCATGTCATAGGATTTAACAAACCAGGCATAGAGCTCTCCTCTTCATAGAGAAAGACAGTGAACATGTGATATAGGTATTCTACTCTCAAGAGCCTATGAAAAAACTATTTCAGGGTAAGAAACCCTGCTTCATAATACTCAATTATTGGAAACTGTGATTGTTTCCAGGAAGTTGCCTTTTTTCATTTTACCATATTCTAGTGAATACAGGGTTGAGTCACATGTAGAAAAAGGATTTCCAAGTTCTTGGGTTTTTTTAAAAGTTTCACTTTGTAATTTCCCAAATTATAAATTTGGCAACTATATACAGGGCAAAATATAATCAGAGGAATGTTCAATTTAAAAGTGAAACGTTTTGATCATGAGTCTATAAATGAAAGTTTTCACTCTTTTTTTAAAGTTTTACTGATTTTGAGTCTTTATATTAAAAAATTATATTCTGTCAGTATATCAAAATTCTCCACAAATGAAAGCTTATAGAACATAAATTTGTATCCTGTCATTGTGGCCATAAAAATTCTGTTTTGGGCTCTATAAAATAACCAATTCTGCAGATACTTAGAAATATAACATGTTTTGTAACAAATGACTATGATCCTGTAGTAACTGAATAGCAGTTTTTAAAAAATTAGTTTATTAAGCCTAATTCATATTTTTATTTTCCCCTTAAGCTGCTTTGAATATGCCTAGTTTACATTGTCTTAGCAATAAATTTCTTTTTCTGTTTTCTGTTAACCAGCACTATATTCACCTTCCCATTAGCTCTTACATACTGATTCTAGAAATGATTCTTTTTGCCATAAATCTGTCATAATTGATTAGAGCATATAGCAGAATGGTGATGATTATAATCACATACTTTATTACCTCCTGACATAGCAAAACTGTTTTGTCAGTGATATTGACAGTGATATGTTAGATTGGATAAAGTACATAGTGTCTTGATGTGTCTCTTCATGAGTTCTTGAAACCATTATTAGCATTGCAGAATATATATATGAGCCATGAGTGGCATAACCTCAAGTAAGCATTGTTTAAAAAGTATATTCTGTATATGGAATGCTATCTAGAGAAACTTAGTGATTTTGCAATGTTATTAAAGTTTATTCAGTTCGTTGTACAGAAATAGGAGTGTATAGGTTTGGTACTTGGTATTCTTTTTTTTTTTTTTTTTTTTTTGAGTTAGAGTCTCACACTGTCACCCAGGCTGGAGTGCAATGGCACACTCACAGCCACCTTAGCCTCCACCTGCTGGACTCAGGCAGTCCTTCCACTTCAGCCTTCCAACTACAGGCATGCACCACCATACCCAGGTAACTTTTTCATTGATTGTAGAGATGAGTTCTCGTCAAGTACCCCAGGCTAACCTTGAACCTGTGAGCTCAGATAGTCATCTCACCTCGGCCTCCCAAAGTGCTGGGATTATAGGCGTAAGCCACCACACCCGGTGGTATTTGGTGTTCTTAATGTATGGGAACAATCACTTTAAGTTTTCTGTATAGAGGTGTGTTAATGCTCTCAAGTCTAATGTGACAAACTAGACAAAAATCTATATTTTATCCCTGCTAACTTTGTTTACCTCTAAATTTGAAGCATGAATGAGAAGAGAGAAATGAAAAGATGAAAAGAAAGGAAGGGTGAGAATTTCTTTTTCTTCTCACCAGCACTGCTGTCCTACCCTCATTTCTGTTATAAATCCCAATCAATCCCAAAGCCACTGAGTATTGCCACTAGTGATCTGTCTGCTAACAGGCCAATCCAAATGCCTCTAAAAATAACCAGTGGTTTATTCATCAGAAAATATCCTCAATGGCATTGTTTATAATATTTTGGTTAACTTCTCTGCAAATTTAGATAATCTTTATTTAAAAAAAAAAAAACTTTAATCTTTAAAATGAATTGAACAATTTTCAGTGAGACGCAGCAGCTTAGGAGGACACTGGAGAATGAGATAAAAACTGGAGCTGGGCAGAGCACAAAGCAGAAGAGAGAGGATTTTTATATATATATAGGTGATGGAAAATTTCATAGTGCCTGATTTAAATGACAGACCTGCTAAGAATTTAAAATGACAATTCTTGGGGTAAAAAGTTTCATAAGGCCTTTTATTATTCTGGAAAATCAGTTCATACTATGATGTGTTTTTAAATCTACCTTTGATTGAACTGAACCAATTAAAGGTTTGTATTTTTAGAACATAAATAAAAATAAGGTGCTTAAAAACATGTTTAATTACGAAGCATTTTAAAAACTATTGCAAATTGATATAAATTAAATAAAATAAAGAAAATACCTCCAAAATCTAAATATAGATATTCTCTGTGTTTTCATTGTCTCTGCAAAAGAGTATTTGTCAAATGATGAAGAGAATTCATATATTCTATATTGGATCATTTATTCAATTTTACTCCAAACAAAACAAATTTTAATTTTTTTTAATTTTAGATATCTAAGAATACTTCTATCCATAGAAGAAATAAAACAATCCTTTTCCGTGTTTCTGTTTCTACCATAGCCCTTGACTATTCAGAAGATTCCAGACTTTGTAGTCTTTCTTTGACCAACAGAGAGAGTATATCATTTTATACCATTGAGAGAAAAAAATAAATTGAACTATCCAGCACAGCACCTATAAGCCACATACAGCTGTTTAAATTGGTTTATTAAAACTAAATAAAACTTAAAATTCAGTCCCCCACTGGGCACATTCTGAGTACATTATTGGATAATGAAAATATAGAACATTTATATCATCACAGAAAGTTCCATTGATCAGCATAGATAGAAAGTCCACAGAGAATATTCAGGAAGTTTTGATTTCCAAATAATTTTCTAAGGTAATTCTAAAGTTTCTGTGTTCTTCACAGATATAAAGAATACAATGAGTGATCACCCAGAGTTTCAGAGTTTCTGACAATAAGATGCTAAATTAGGTCCTGCTGGCTCAGAGAGTATAATGCTGTTTTTATAAGTACCTGAACCACAAAAGAAGACAATTTTAAAACAGTTTGATTAAGGGAAAGAAATAAGATAGTCTCCTAATTATCTTTATTTAATCATTTATTTATTCAAAAATTATTTAGTGAGCACTTATTATATGCCTACCATTCTGCAGACCCTGAAGGCAAAATAGAAGTGACCAGAGAGTATTATGAACGAGAATGTGGAAGTGGTGCCCATTTTAGTTATGATAGCTATGAAATGACTCTAAGAAAGTAAAACCTGAAAATATGAATATCTAGTAACAACAAACAAATAAATAGGGGACCACATTTCAAACAGAGGAAACAGGAACATGAAGACCTCCAAACAAGAAAGAACATAATGTACTATGTACTCCAGGAACTGACAGAAGGCCAATGTGACTAGAATGGAGTGAATGAGGAGAGAATATGAGATCAGGCTGACTACTGACACATCATATAAATAGCATAACTATTATAGGAGTTTCTGTTTGGAAAACAAAACAGAAAATGGTATGACTACATGATACAATGTATGGGAACACTATAATTGGTATTCTACAGAAGTAGGTAGATTGTGACAGGATCATTTAACCTTTATATCACTAGCTTGTTAAAAATTGAAGAGAGTATTTTCTTTGATTTGGAAGACAGTGCTAAATTTAAGGTATGTGAGCACCAATGATAATAAAAGTAGAATTTTGCATTCATAAAGTGCTTCACAGTTTGCAAAACCTTTTCCAGCACATTGGTAATACATTTAATGTTTACACAACTTTGGGAGGTAGATGGGGTGGGCATGTATTGCTACATCAGTTCAACAGATAAAAAATAGGCTATATGACTTGTTCAAGGTCACATAACTAATACATATTGGAGCAAAAATCAGAGCTCAGTTCTGTATGTCTAGTACTCTTTGTATTAACTGGATGACCTTCTCTCTCACATTCTAACTTTTTGGAAGATATTAGGTTTCAAAATGATCTTGAAAAATGCGAAATAGCTTTTTTTTTTTTTTTTGAGTCGGAATCTCACTCTGTCGCCCAGGCTGGAGTACAGTAACACGCTCATGGGATCACCACAACCTCAACCTGCTGACCTCAGGGGATCCTTCTGCCTCAGCCTCCCAAGTAGCTGGGACTATAGGCACGCGCCACCAAGCCCAGCTCATTTTTTAAAAATTTATTGTAGAGATGAGTTGCCCAGGCTGATCTCTAACCCCTGGACTCAGACAGACCTCTGGCTTCCGCCTCCCAAAGTGCTGGGATTATAGCCGTGAGCCAGTGTGCCCGGCTAAGAAATAACTCAAAAACTGAAATTCTCTGGGATAAAAATACAAGCTAAAATAATTGAGAAAAAGTAGCAAACTTAAATACATACACAATTGTGTAAGCTTTCTACTCATTCTTCTTTCTCCTCCTCCTCTTCATCTTTCTTCTCTCTTATTAGATACTATAACTGAATTCTTTTTATTTTTCTTTTTCACTTTTTAAAAAAATAGAGGCAGGGTACCCTCTCACTCCATTGCTCAGGCTACTTTCAAATTCCTGACCTCAAGCTATCCTCCTGCGTTAGTCTCCCAGAGTGCTAGAGTTATAGGTGTGAGCCACCATACCCAGCCAGACACTATAATTGAATTCTCAATATTTAAAATTCTTGAGGCTCTTTCTAGAGATTATGGGGCAACCTAAGGATGTGACTATTTTAGGGAGTATTAAAATGATAGTAATTAGAGGAAAATTAGTGTTTACTAAGTTCTTAGCATACATTAAGCTGTTTCATTTACCTCATTCTCTTGCATCCTCACAGCAACTATTTTTAACTTTTTATTTTAAAATAACTTTAGTCTTATAAAAATTGCAAAGAGAGTACAGAATTTCCACATACTTTTCACCCAGCTTACCCTAATATTAACATATTACTTAACCAAAGTATAATGACCAAAACCAGAAAATTAAGTGTTAACACAATACCAGTAACTGAACTTCAGGCTTTATTCTGACTTCACCAGTTTTTTCCTCTAATTTCCTTTTTGTGTTCCAGGATTTAATCCAGGATCCCACATGCATTTATTTGTCATGTGTCCTTAGTATCCTCCAATCTGTGATACTTTCTCACTCTTTCCTTGTTGTTTATGACCTTGATACTTTTGAAGAGTACTGACCAGTCATTTTGTAAAATATCCCTCAATCTGAGTTTGCCTGATATTTTCTTATTAAGTTGGGGTTATGCATTTTTGGCAGGAAACCCACACAAATAATGTGCCCTTCTCAGTTCATCATATATGGGAGGTACATAATGTCACAATGTCTCATTGCTAGTAATGTTAACCTTGATCATTAGATTAAGGTGATGTCTGCCGGTTTATCCTCTGTAAAGTTACCAGTTTCCCATTATAATTAATAAATATCTTGGAAGGGATACTTTTGGACTGTGCAAATATCCTATTTCATGCACACATTTTAGCATCGCTAAATTGATCACTGATTTAAGGTGATGTCTGTCAATTTTCTCTGTGGTGACATTACTATTTTTTCTTTTGTAATGATTAATATCTTAGGGGGAGATACTTTGAAACTGTGTAAATATACTGATTTTTCTTCAAACTTTCACCCACTAATTTCAGCATACTTAGTTCCCGACATCTTTTCACAGGAATTATTTTATTAGTTTTGTAGACGAGGAAATAGAGCTTTAGAAAGATTTATTAACTTGCTCAAGGTCACATAAATAGAAAGTCAAGGTCTGCCGTATTCTAAAGTTCCTTCTGATTTCATTGTTCTGTTAAGATATGTGAGCCTAGATGTAAGAGAAAAGAGCCTATGGGGAGACACTGAAGGGGAAATACTGTAGAACTAGAAATAAAGTTTACATAAATCTGGAAAGGTTTGTGTTTTGTATTTGGAAAGTTTATTTCAACCTTTAATTGCCATTTTTATAAGGTTTCATTTGAGACAAGAAACATTTCTTTGATTAGATTACCAGAACTCTCATAACAAAATATATCTTTCCATAGCATTGGTAGAAAACAACCAAGGAATCTTATTCATAATTTGCTCCTTGAAGAAAGACCTCTTTTTAAAACATCTAGTACATGCATAAGATTATGCTTTCAAGATGATAAAGTGAATATGTTTGCCTCTTATCTTTATTAAATGTGAACTGTGCTTAATCATAAGCAAAAATCCTATAGCAATAAAATATATTTGTGCTAAGGAAATTGGCAGAATATATGTGAGTCATTTTAATTAAATGTCTACATTTATTTATTTAAGAGTGTGAAGATGCTGTTATGTGGCATTTTTTGATCCTTTCAATTGTTATTAGTCATTTATCCCAGAATCTGAGGGAATCTCTTTTCTCATCAGAGTTCAGGCTTAGTTCTGTTCTAAAATGAGCAATTGAAAGCGAAACAGTCAGCATGTTTGAAGTCGGCAGCATTGCCCTACTATAAGGAACTGTTCTTTTCAGAGACAACAGTCCTCTGTAAGTCATCCTGTTAGGTATATTAAAGCTTAACTTCATATATTATCTTGAATTTGTTAAGTATTTAGTGAATACATAACACATAAATATTCCACTACAGATTGTCATACTCTTAAGAATGTTCAGTTTCTGATGTTGCTTGTAGCCATTGTAACCCACTATGACTTGTCTGCTTTGCTTATCTGAATTTTTCTCTCCTATATATCCTTTTTTACCTCTCCTATATATCCTAAGATATGCCACTTAGATATATTTCCCTTTTGACATATATTTTTTCTCTGTAACTATTTGAAACTTTCCACAGTGATAAGCTACCAACAAAGCACAAACCATGAGCAGTTTTAGAGACCCACCAAATACAGACATCGATTTTTGTTATCAAAAATGACTGAAAACACAATTGTAAAAATTCTGCTTTAGTTCAAGAGTTAGGTTTCAATATTTCAGAACATTTATTATATAAAACTTCATGGACTATGTGGTGTGAAAAACAGTATCAGGGTTTGACAATTTGTAATTTTTAAACTTTATCTTTTTTATTTTTTTGAGATGGAGTCTCATTCCATCGCCCAGGCTGCAGTGCAGTGGCACGCTCATGGCCACCCCAGCGTCAACCTGCTGAGCTCAGGCAATCCTTCCACCTCAGCCTTCCAAGTAGCCGGAACTACAGATGTGCGCTACCACGCACGGCCAATTTTTTGATTTATTATAAAGATGAGGTCTCGCCAAGTTGCCCAGGCTGTTCTCGAACCTGTAGGCTCAGGCAATCCCCTCACCTTGGCCTCCCAAAGTGCTGGAATTACAGACTTGAGCCACCACGCCCAGCCTAAACTTTATCTTTTTTTTTAATGAAAATTCAGTCTTTGTAGGAAAAGGTTAGATTTTTTTCTCTCATATCAGTCCTTTGAAAAACTGGGCATTATAGCAACTGTATTATTTCCAAAGTCAGCATCATTATGCTCTGTAAACCTCTAAGATAATTAAATATTCTTCTTTTTAAAAAACTCTCTTTAATTAGCAATTGAAAAATGAGTAGATATCTGCTGATACTACATAATTTATTTTTTAAAGTATGATAATAGTTATGTGATCATGTTTAAGACATTACCTTTCAGAGATACATACTAAAACATCTATAGATGTAATTACATAATACTTGAAGTTTGCTTCAGAATAACGTGAAAGGCAGGTGAGTGACAGTATAGATGAAATACGGTTCATAGGCCAGGTGCAGTGGCTCATGCCTGTAATCACAGCACTTTGGGAGGCTGAGGCAAAAGGATTGCCTTACCCCAGGGGTTCAAGACCAGCCTGACATCTTGGCAATACCTCGTCTCTAGAATAAATGAAAAGTTATCTGGGCATGGTGGCGCGCACACCTGTAGTCCCAGCTACTTGGAAGACTGAGGTGGAAGGATCACCTGAGCCCAGTAGGTCGAGGCTACAGTGACCATGAGCATGCCCCAGCACTCCAGGATGGCTGACAGAGTGAGACTCCAACCCAAAAAAAAAAGAACTAAGGTTCATTATAAATCTAAAATGTTTGCAGATTGATGGTTCCTTAGAAGTTTATTGGACTATTCTGTTTACTTTTGTACATGGTTAAATTTTAAAACTATATCTCTTAATAGATTTTAAGGTCTTGTTTTGATTATCAGAAGCTAAATTGTTAAATCTACTAGTAAAGTTTTGCTTTACTGTACTGGTATGATATTTTTCTCCTTTCTATTAATAGACTAAAGACATTAAAGAGATAGCCAAAAAGACACAAGCCCTGCCAAAGATGAATTCAAAGAGGCAGCGAATCGTGATCTTCACCCAAGGGAGAGATGACACCATAATGGCTACAGGTACATGTGAGAATATGTGACAGATTAAGTATTATGAGGATTAATCATTTTTAACAAAGTTATGTATTCTTTTTATTATGAGATAATCAAAGCAATGTACCTTTTATTTTAATAAATATTTCTGTCCTCTATTTCAGTAGAAAGTATTTCATTTTCAAGATGATTTATTAAAATTCAATGGAATAAAACCACTTTGATATAATTTATTTACTTTGATATTTTGGTGATTTGTCAGTCAGGAAATGTTATTCCTAAGGAAAAAAAGGAATAAGAATACATTATAGGCCGGGCTCAGTGGCTCAGCCTGTAATCCCAGCACTTTGGGAGGCTGAGGCTAATGGATTGCTTGAGCCCGCAGGTTCAAGACCCACCCGGGCAACTTGGCAAGACTTCATCTCTACAATAAATAAAAAATTAGCCAGGCATGGTAGCGCACGCAGAAGGATCGCTGGAGCCCAGCAGGTCGAGGCTGCGGTGGCCAGGAGTGTGCCACTGCATTCTACCCTGGGTGACAGATTGAGACTCCAACTCAAAAAAAAAAAAAAAGAATACATTTTATTTATAAAATACCTGGGCTAGAATAAAATAGATTTACTCAATTATAAGCAAGTAAAATCCAGAAATAAGCTACTTCCTTAGTTTTTCCTTCAAGAAGAAAATCTCACTTTTGGTTTTACTCAGCCATCTCTTTTATAGCATTAATAAAAATAAAATAGGAGTTTCGTCTAGTAAACAAACATGTTATTGATTAAAATGATTGATATTGTGAATATGATGCTACCAACTATTAAAGCCAAAATATAAAAATTTTAGTTCTGTCTGAACCATTCAGATTAAAACCAGTCTATTGATTAATAATTATCATAAACAATAGCAATTATTAAATTTGGGTTTGTTCAGTTACTCTGCTGAACACAGAAATGTAAACTATGAGCCTTAAATATCTTACTGGGAAATAAAATTAATACTTATAAAATATAAGTACAAAATAAAGTACAATTATATATCTTGGCAAGACCTCGTCTCTAGAATAAATGAAAACATTTATGGTGTAAAATATGGGTTATATTGACTCAGAGGATATGAATAAAGCTTGAAGAAAGAGGTTACAATGAATATGAACTAAATTTTTGTTGAATTAAATATAAAGCCTGAAAAGGGTCAGTGATGAAATTATCATCAAAATGTGGGTCTAAGGGACCCTTTATTTTATTTACTTCTTTTTTAAAATAAACTTTACTACATATATTTGAGGTTTACAACATAATGCCATGGGATACATAGATACATATATAGATATGTAGATCGGCTTTCTTATTTTAGAATAGTCAGAAACAAAGTTCAAAAGATTTGCTTTAAAAAATATTTGTTTCAAAATAATTCAGTGAGTGGCAGTTAAACTGGGTATAGATGAAATGAGACTAGTCATTAATTAATTATTGAAGCCAGGCAATGGACATTTGGGGGGGGTTCACTGTTCTATTATCTTCACTTGTATATTTGTTTGAAATTATCCATAATTCAAACTTTAAAAAAGAAAGAAAAGTAAAAAATAATTTTTCAAACAAGATTCAGAGATGTTAAGTGGTTTTCCCAAGATACATTGATATCCTTGCTGAGTCTTGAATTCTAGGAAAGATTTAAAGAAAGGAAGGCAATCCAGGCAAAGAGGTCGTGTCAGCAAAGGCACCAGGTACTTTGTAATCTCTTTATTGTTGTGGCAAGAAAAACCATGTTGTTAATTTGTGTAAGAAAAAAAAAAAAAAACCATGAAAGGATATCTCTACATCAATACAAACTAGCTGAATTGCTTTCTTCCTATAGTACGTGGCCTATTCCTGTCTTAGCAGGCTTCTTATGTCATGGGAACTGTAGTACTACCTTCAGATTCATAAAATATTCTTTGGTTGCTCTTTCTGGAGATACTCATTTTAAGGCTTTATATATTTTCAGTATACATGATGTACTACTGTCTTCCTCATTGTGATTTTGCACAATTTTCCCAATATCGAAAATTAGCCTCCTCATCTTATGACTGAATTTCCTTGTGACCTCATTTTATTGTTTATTGAATCTATTAAATCATTCTTAAGAATGATTGCAAGTAGGAATTTATTTGAGGAAAGACACTGGCTAATCTTTGCTGTTCATACCATATGAAAATGAACTTAAATTAGAGGATGCACTATATCTGCAATGCGTGGTAAATACAAGATGGATAGAGAATCTGTTCAGTGGTGTCAGCTACAAAAGTAAACATGATAAATGTTAATGCAGTTTTGAGCCCTGGGATAAGCTATTCAGCGCACAAGCATAGCTGAATCTCTTTGCTATGTTGTTATTCATGGCAGCCAAATAAATGTCAATAATAAAAGAGAATTAAAGATTTTCATTTCCCAGAGGCAGTCCTCTAATACGGCTTGATCTTTCATTTCATTTGTAATTCGTTCTCATGTCAGGATGCAATCATTCGCCAGGCTCTGGGTGTCATGTTAAGTCATTTAATAATGATTAAGAACATAAAAATGCTTGGCCTGTGGGGCAATTCACAAAAGAGATGCCAATTTGTTATTGTTTTCCCTCCTTTCCTCTTGAATATGGATCAGCTTTTTCCCACCCCCTAGCATTAAAATACTAGTGGAAGATAGGGAGGGAAAGTGTCCCTTAATTTACCATAAGTGACATTCCAGAATGGCACAAGAAAGTGCTAACACACTTATTAAGACACTAATTAGGAATCATTATGCCTTAAACCTTACACTGTAGAGTATTTTTAAATGATCACACAGTTAAGTTTGCAGCATTTAGCAATAAATGTAACAAAATTCATTTCCTTGGAATTTTATTCTACAAACCTATTTCCTTTTGAGATATGGTATCTATGAACTACTCTATTTTATCTTATAAATTTAATTCCTTACATTCTTCTCATTTAAATTGCCTATAAATCTAAAGTCTTTTAAACTCACTCTGTCTTTTTGGTCATCCCCTTTTTCAGATTGGGCTTATATCCAGCCCAGAGGTTCTGTCACATATCAATCATTGTTCAGTCCTTGCAAACTAATTGAGTTCCAAAATTTTTTTTTTGAGGGAAGGTTGGGCACTAGACAGTATTAACAGTAACAGACTGTTCAATTCCACAATTCTGGGTATATACCCCAAAGAATTGAAAGCAGGAACTCAGATATACGTGCACCCATGTTCATGGCAGCATCATCCACAATAGCCAAAAAGTGAAATCAGCCCAAGTGTTCACTAACAGACAAATGGATAAACAAAATGTGATATATACCCACAATGGAATATTATTCAGCGTTGAAAAAGAAGGAAGTTCTGACACATACTACAACATGGATGAACCTTAAAGACATTATGCTAAGTGAAATAAGCCAGACACAAATGGATAAATACTGTATGTTTTCACTTTATATGAGATGCTTAGTCAACTTCCTAGAACCAGAAAGTAGAATAGTGGTAGTCAGGGACTAGGAGAAGAAAAATCGGGAGTTATTGTTTAAAGAGTATAAAGTTTCTGTTTTGCAAGATGAAAAAAGTTGTGGAGATGGGTGGTGGTGATGGTTGAACAACAGTATCCATGGCACTAAGCTATATATTCAAGAGTGGTTAAAATGATAAATTTTATGTTATGTCTATTTTACCACAGCTTTAAAAAATTAAGCATATCAAAGCAAAAAGTGAGACACTGGGGATGAAGGCAGAAAAGACTCAGTCCACTTTGATCCTTTTAATAAATATTGAATGAACTGGTTTAATAACATGAGAGTCAAATGAAGAAAATCATTTATGTGTCTATGAACTTTAGAAAAACTAACCATATTCTTTACCTTTTGGACAGCAGCTACTAATAAAAACCATTATGTATCTATCTATATATATACATATATAGTGCTTTATAGAAAGTTTAAATTCACCCAAGTTTCTGTACTAAATAAATCACTAAAAATTGGAAAAAGCAATAGGACTTTTGTTCTAAGTTGAAGATAATGCATTTCACACAGTGGCTCTTATGAAACAGTAAAATAAATCCGCTAAAAAACAAATAGACTTTTCTGAATACTTTTCTTCAAGGAGATGTATGAGCATGTGGGTGGTAGGGTCTGGGGGAGGGGGAGATGTGGGGTTGTGTATTTGTTGAAAAAGTTCCCTGACTTTGAGAATCATTGGATTAGGTGATTTGTTAATGTTGTCTCAAGTTCTGTGATCCTGTGGAATCGTGAAAACAAAACCTCTCTTTTAACAGATGAGTATAGTTCTTCAAAAAGTTGGGCCTTAGTAAACGCTTCTCTTTTTTGATTCATCAAAAAGTATTGGCCAGGCTCAGTGGTTCAGCCTGTAATCCCAGCACTTTAGGAGACCGAGGCGAGTGAATTGCCTGGATCCACAGGTTCCAGACCAGTCTAGGCAACTTGGCAAGACCTCATCTCTACAATAAATAAAAAAAAATTAGCTAAGCATGGTAGCACACGCCTATAGTTCTGGCTATTTGGAAGACTGAGGCAGAAGGATCACTGGACCCCAGGAGGTCAACACGGGGGTGGCCGTGAGCATGCCACTGCATTCCAACCTGGGTGACAGAGTGAGACTCCAACTCAAAAAAAAAAGTATCAAGGACCTATCCACTCTTATAAGAGGTCTACGGATTACATGGTCTCCCACTTTTGAAATGCTTATAATTTAAAATAGTTATATCCCAGTGTCCTTTGTCATTTTATCATAAATAAATGAAGGTTTTGAAGTTACTTGTCTTTGTGTTCCTGAGTACTTAAAGAAACATGTTACCTCATCTGCTAGTTAAGTTTTCATCTTCCATGAAAACACTCAGTGCTGTCCACCACTCTGTAAGAAAAGGTTACTGTGAATTGTAATTTTGGTAGGCATAAAGTAGAGAAAGTATGCAATAGAAAATGCAAACTAAAGGAAAGCAATCTCAGCAGTTGAAAAAATTATGGCAGCATGTCATCTCAACTCCTACTGCTACA